TTATATCATATGGCAGGCGTTTTGATAGTTATCATTAGCTCCTTAGTTGACTTCAGGCTTCACAGAGGGGAGGAACATCAAAGTAAAAAGAATTCGAGAGGGACAGCAGAAGAGAGATTCAAAGATGAGAAAGAGATAGACACAAAGGCGAGGAAAAAAGAGAGATGAGTACTGTGGAAGGGGTAGAATATAACATACAGTGGGGACATTATAGTTTTAGGTCAGAAGTCAACTACCGGTTTATAGACTTTTTGATGTAAGTATAAAAGTTGTCCAGGGTGCACCACGTGGCCTTTAAGTTAGAGACCACACTTTACAAATCTCAAGAGCACAGAAATGAGAACGCTTAAAATAAACTGTTGATTTCTTCTATCAAATTTTGTTATTTCTGAATGGCGAATATAGGGAAACTCTATTCAAATCAAGTAAGCCTTTGACTAACTCCTTTAGAGCACCTGTGCTCATTACGAAACAGAATGACAAGTGAGGCACCTGGAATTGAGTTTAAGAACTAGAAAAAAATTGAAACCACAGCAACGGTTTTTCACTGAAGTTTCAAAATAACAATTATAAATTTAAAATGAGCATCATACTCAAAGTTAAACCGTTTTATGCACCAAGTAGGTCCATGCTTTCGATAAGCAAAATACCCAATTTGACTTGATTATGATTGTTAATTTAGAGGAACCCAAAAAATAATCTCCCTAAAGTTTGGTCATTATTAAAATCAAGGCGAGTAAATAATTTCAATGTTGCAGTTCTTTAAAAATCGTGTATACGCAGAGAGCCGTATTAATAGGAGGTGAAAATGGAGTAATGGTAATGAATTTCACAATTGGCATTTTAATTAAATTAAATTGAGTGCCGAGTACATTTGCATTTCACCCTTTCGAAGTGTTTAATATTTCGCGGTTTCTAATGTTGCAATGTTTAATAGTCTCTGTTATTTTAGAATTATCAACTTTTCTTTGAGATCAGAAATTAATGATCACTTAATCAATTCGCTACAATGGATTTACTTTATTAACAAAGATATTAGCAAGATTTATTTAGTTAGCATTAGCCATTTAGCTGACTTCGGGCTTCACAGAGAGGAGGAGGAACATCAGAGTGACAAAAAGTCGAAAGGGGGGGACAGAATAATTTTTCACAGATGTAACAGAGACGGACAGACACAAAGGCAGAGAAAAGGTGAGGTGAGTACTATGGAAGGGGTCGCATATGTCATACAGTGGGGTGGTGGTAGTTTGAAGACAGAAGTCAACTGCCGGTTTATAGACTTTTTTGACGTATGTGTAAACGTTGCCCAGGGTGCACCACGTTGGGTTAAGTCTATCGCATACCCCAAATTAGTGAGATAATACGATATAAAATGATTTCAAAATAACTTGGAGGGCGCTATAGTCATGAAGATAACCTATTATGGACTTTTAAACCAAACCACTTAAATGCATGAATGGAAAACAAAGATATATGACCTTAGTAATCGCAAAATAGCTAAACAAACAAATCAATACACCCTCAAAATTTAGCTTCTAGGATTCAAAGCTTTAATTCTTCGTCTTAAAAGAATTTACTAATAAGTGAAAATAGCAATTCTTTTGATCTCAACTCCTCGTTGATTTTTGCTACGTGCAAATATTGATACATCTGTGAAAAATCAAATCTAATTGCTCAAAATTTGTGGATCCTTCAACACAGGATTGGTAACCAGTCTCTCTTTGCAAACGACTTTTTTTACTATAGGGCAGAGGAACTTATGACACATTCCTACCTCGCGAATATTGACTGGGAGTTGGCCAAACGACAACGCCTTGACCCTCCACTTATTCCACCTCAAGGCGAGGTCAATGCAGCCGACGCTTTTGAAATCGGAGCTTTTGATGAGGAGGATATACAAGGTATTCGGGTAGGTATAAAATGCAAGTTTGTAATATGTCATAACGCCATATAATTAGGTAAATGCATTAATTTATTTTAATGCGAAACAAACCCAAGGTTGTATAACATCAATTATCAGAAGTGCATGAAATCATTCGAGCAGAAGGATTTGGGTTCAAATTATGCTTGCAAATCCGGCGATTAGTTGATGCTAACAGTTTAATATTAAAAATAAGACCAGTGACAGCGGTATTTGGTATTTGGAAATCGAATGCGGCTCCTGATGAAATATATATATATTTAAAATGTCAGGCTTTATGTTAGTTATCATTAGCACTTTAGCTGACTTCGGGCTTCACGGAGGGAGAGGAAAATCAAAATGATAAAAATTCGAGAGGGAGGGGGAACAGAAGAGTGATTCACAGTTGTAAGAGGCAGACAGGCACAAAGGTAGAGAAAAAGGTAAGGTGAGTATAGTGAAAGTGGTGGAATATGGTATGGAGTGAGGTGATGGTAGTTTGAAGTGAGAAGTCAACTGCCAGTTAATTGACTTTTTTGCCGTATGAGTATACGTTACCCAGGGTGCACCACGTGGAGGTAAGTCTATCGCACACTCCTACTGAAATATATAAGAGCCTTTCAATGTGTTCGAAAATTTGTTTCGTAAAATGACCATCAAATTGATTAATATTCTTCTTAAATCTTGTGTTTCTTTATTGTGAAGTTAAATCATTAAGTGAACAAAATTTTATTTCAAGGTAATTTTGAGCAAATAATTTTATCTCCAAATGAATAGGTTAGGTGGAGCCTCTCGTTTGCTTATTTATTGTCTTTATTTTAAGTAATGTATTGATTGATATTAAAATTACTTCTTTATTTCGACTAATATTTATGCGCATCATTAAAGCCTTTCTTCTTTGTAATATTGTACACATTTTTTAAAGCTGTGGTGACTATACTTTTTTCTCACATATGAATAGCATTACCTATTGAAATTTTCTATGTAGTTTTCAAGTTTCATATACCTTCCCCCTTTTTAAGGAAATGTAACTGTAAGACAACTCAAAACCTGTAAGAAGATTCATTAGTTCTTTGAGACTTTTAGACGGTTATCTATCTTCATCTAATACTTTTTAAAAACATGAGAAATACTTTTGGGTTATGATATATTTACCAGTCTTTTTGCACAATGCGACTCATATAAAAAAGCTAGATGAACTGTCTTTTTGTGCGTAATAGCGTACAACTCAACGATTCCGAAATCGGAAAGAAGAGAAACATTTTTCGAAGTGCCCAAATTGCGTACTCTCCTTAAAAATTAACTTTACAATTCAAATGCTATTTAAATGTTAGTCTGTGACAAAGGCTTGCATGTTTTGCACTTTTATTGGAGAATGTTGTTTTGAATGCACTGAAAGTCTTTTAAAATAAAGGATTTGTTTTCATTGCTAACAACTAGCTGAATGTCGTAAAAGATTTTTTTAAATGAATGAACACATGTGAACCAATTTTAATTCTCCCTTCCAAATCACAGGTATCTGGTAATTTCATTGAATTTTTCGAAGTTTATTTAATCATATTTCATACGAAGACTAAATTTAATAAAATTCGATTTAAAGATATGAGATTTGGTGGGGGTAGGACTGAGTGCAATCGGACTATTTTCTCCATTCTTGTCTTTGTGTCATTTATTTATTTATATCAAATGACAGGCTTTTTGATGATTACCATTAGCCCTTTAGCTGACTTCGGGCTTCATAGAGGGAAGAAACATCAAACTGAGAAAAAGTCGAGAGGGGGGGGGCGGAACAGAAGAGTATTTCAAAGATGCAAAAGAGACAGACACAAAGGTAGAAAGAAGCTGAGATGAGAACTGTGGAAGTAGTTGAATATGATATACAGTGGGACGATGATAGTTTGAAGTCAGAAGTCAACTGCCAATTAATAGACTTTTTTGTCGTATGAGTATACGTTGCCCGGGGTGAATCACGTGGAGGTAAGTCCTTGTGTCATAACCAATGCTATTCCTGGTTTGTGCCAATTGAGGTTATTTGTCTTGAGAGGAGTGAAGGTCAAAATTACATTGGTTAATTTTGTCAATGAATGATTACGTCTAAGAGGTTATAGAGCACCTTTCAAAATGGTTAAGAGCATTTAGAAGTTTGTTTTTGTTGCTACAAGTAAGAGAACAATCTTGACGGATTTATACTATGGGAAGAAAATGAAATGGGCTAATGGAAAGTACCCGAACTCATAAAATAAGTAGGGTTTAAAAAGGAGCCAAGAGTGACATGAACGCTTCAAAAATATTGACTAATCTTGTTTGTTGTCATCTGGGATGTAACATTTTTGCATTTTAAGTTACCTAATTTATCCTCTTTAATTGCGGATAACGATTACGCTTAATATTTATGATTATTGATCGTATTGGTAAAGCTAATGATTGGCCTTGACACTTTCAATGTTACTTCTTCCGCTAATTGAGATGGTAAAATTAAGTAGAACGGCATTCAAAAATCCTCATTGAACTTTTTTGGTTTCTTTTGTGTAAAAATACTATAACATCAAATTAATTTAAATTACTTAACTTATTGTTTTAGTATACAATTGGTTGTTAGAATGAATTAATTTATTCAAGAACAATTAAATTAACAACTTATTGTTACGTTTGTAATTCTCATATTCATTAGAATGTGCTAAATTACAGACTCCTTGCCTTGCAAAATTTTGAATTAAGTCCTTTCATATAGCCAATTTTTGGCTATAATATTGTAACGATAATTATATGTGTATATACTTATATTGTACAGATTATTTGTCTATTAAATAAAAAAATATATTTTTATAATCTAAAACAAGTTTAATTTAACATTCAATTTTAATGATTGTATTTAAAACCCACAAACCCTAAAGAGAAGATCTATTTGGAAGGCGTCCAATAAGCTTAGAACACTATTGGGAACCGCGTAAAGTGAAGCTTTGAAATAACCTTGCCGATTTATTTAAATTCACCTCCCAACATAATCTGCTACTTTACAAAATTTATTGCCACTTCTTTACTAGTATAATTCAATTTTTGATTAAATATAGCTGACGACTGAAAATCAACAGGTCTACAAGGAATTTGATGTGGTGATAGCGGATCGTTGGGAACACGAAATGACCACAACGATATTTGATGCAGTGAATGAAGATTTTGACCAAATTGAGAGCAAACGTAGGGACAAGTTGCAGCAGCGTTTGAATCAACTAAGCCAAACCCTTCCAAATCAACCTGAAGGAGAAGCGGCTGCAAACCCTCCACAGTCAACGACAATGTCTAAAGCGATAGTCCCACTACCTTCGCTTCCTTCTTCAAGCCTGTCACCACCACCACCACCGACCAGTTCTACAACAAATAAATCCCTCGATCATGAAGACATTCCAAGTTGGCCAGCAGAACTCCTTCTTGAGTGGTGGATTGATCCAAGGATATTCGGCTGTGGTCCATCAGATTGTTTAGTGGAGAGTGAGGTGCTTCGACTTGGAGGTCCCTTTTTGCACACGTGGCAAAAGAAACATGCTCGTTTGTTTCCCAATCGACTGGAGATTTACAACAAGAATCAGCATGGAATCCCTCTAAAGGGTGCTGAAGTAAGCTATATTCACCTTTTAGTATGAAGGGCTTTACGGAGAGAGTTATTGGCATTAGAGTCCGTGTGCTATATCATACTGGAAGTGCTATAAAGCGCTTGTGTTGGACCACATGATTTCCGGCGCCCACTTTCCGTTAACTGTTTGGTACTCAGTGTTGCGTTTTCACCTGTTACTAACGATTGTGAATATAGCATGTAGAGTGCCTCCTGTATCAATCGCACAAAGTGTTTATTGTTGAACTTAATTAGTCATATAAATCCTTTAAAATAGTGGCTGAATGATTCATCACAAAATATCCCGCAGATCATGCACCTGCTAAATATGTTGTCCCGAGAATAGTTGCAAGATTTCACAATGCAGGTTCAGTCACTAGCACGTACCTGGTGGTTCACCGGTAAATGTTCAATGCGTTCACGGGATTGCTGAGACGTCAACGAGACAATCAATCAGATTTCTTCAAACCAAATGAATAAACCAACATCATGTTACAACATGCTGAATCAATTACGTCAACACAGTGATGGTGTTCCAAACATTATAACCACAGACTATGTAAAATGACAAACAAATTGTTGAAAATAAACATTTTCAACGCGATTGCGGAAATCACTCTCAAATGACTTTTAATGAGTGGCTCAATAGACATTGATACGAGCAGATTTATGAGCAGAAAGGTAGAAGAGAACACTGTCAACGCTTGCTGTAAACAGCTAGCTGTTCAGCAAGTTGTTAATCCCAGTATTTTGTAATCACTACTTATAATTAAAAACATAATATTAATTTACTTTCTTTATTCATAAGAGGCCTCTTTTGTCTTGATCACTTGCATTACTCCCTCAAACAGTTGACTTAGAATTTAATATTATGATGGAATAATTGAGTTCCAAAATGGCATCTTGTGTACATCTGCACATCTGATCTCAAAATTTGAGTATTCTGCCATCTTTCGTCAGCACTTCTTTACCTTTGCTCAAGATAATGATTTCAATAATTAATATGCTCTGACACGATCAAGATATCCATCCAGCTCTATCTATCCCGCACTACCTAATTTAGTATTTACTTTCAAAACCTCTGACCAAATATTTGCATATTGTGTCTTATTTGCAGTTTATATCAATGTTGGATATCGCCTCAATCTACCCAACTCTTCAGCGCGTGAACAAATATGACGGTGTCATTATCATTGTTCTCAAAAGTCAATCCAAGATTTTCCTTACCTCACAGGTATATTACAAGCTTTATTTTGCTATCACTTTGATGGAGACTATTGCTTTTCGCCTTACATTTTAATAGCAATTTCTAAGCGCACATATAAATGCAAAATAATGAAGTAAGATAAACAACTCCATTGAATCGGAAGTAAATAATAATAAAACCTTTGGAATTTATGAGTCTGTCATTATTTCTAAAAGAGGAATCTACCAGACACTCGTTACTTGCGTGATCGAATAAATTCTAATTCATCTAGACATGAAGGCTCAGAAGGAATGTCCCCCCCTCTCCCCTATATTTTCGCTAATAGCTACTTGGAATTGAATTTTGCCATATTGTCAAAAGAGGTGGATACCTAATTTGAAGCAGTCTTTACAAGCTCATTGAACTATTTCGTGTTAAAATATTAATTAATTAAAAGTTAATAGCACTCAACTAAAATGTGAGAAATATTTATTTCAAATGGCAGGCGTTTTGATAGATATTATTAGCCATTTAGCTGACTTCGGGCTTCACAGAGGGAAGGTTTATCAAAGTAGCAGAAAGTCGAGGGGTGGGGAACAAAAGAGCGATTCACAGATGCAAAAGAGGCAGACAGGCACAAAGATAGAGAAAAAGGTAAGGTGAGTACTGTGGAGGGGGTCGAATATGACAAGCAGTCGGGCCATGGTAGTTTGAAGTCAGAAGTCAAATGCCGGTTAATGGACTTTTTTGCCGTATGAGTATACGTTGCCCAGGGTGCACCACGTGGAGGTAAGTCTATTGCCCATCCCAATGTGAGAAATAATGTTAGGAAAAAATTGTTGAAAGATTTTCGAATACTTCGATTGTTCATGTGAATAATTCAAAAAACAAGTGATTTTGCTTATTTGAGATATCAAAAAAAATTAATTTCACTCACAATTGTCAAGCGTAGAAGAAAAATTTTTTAAAGAAATCAGCTTTATCCTCTAAATATCCTGCATTATTCTTCTTTTTAACTGGAAGTTTCATTAATTTTGCCCACGGCAAAGTTAATTCGCAAATTGAACACATTTTTCCTCTCTTGATTTACCACAAGATTGATATGTGTGCATTTAGTTCATGAAATGCAAAAGAGAAACCACTTATCCCACTTTGGCAAATCAATTATGCAAAATATTTTTCAATTACTGAAAATTAACGATTCATCATAAAATATAGGAAGAAACGGGGTATTTTGTACACCATTTCAACGGTGGCCACTTTCAAGTTACTGGATTATACCCCCAGTGTTCCTTAATTCAAATTTCATGATTTTCACATTGAGCGATTCAAAACAGACCTTTTGAATAAATCAATTAGTTGATTGTTAGCTCGTTATCCTTCTATCTTCCTGTAATTAAATAAGCTAAGCTTAATGGCATGTTATGGGAAATGTATTAGAGGCCTTTTCCTCTTCATGATAAGGAGCATTGGATCAAATTTCTGTCAAAAATTCTTTGGCTGTTATTTATTATATTGTCTTCTAGTTTATTATTGCAATAATCCAAATCACTTTGACAAGGTAAAATTACATTTTGTTTCCAGTGCTGTTTTTTATGCACTTCAGACAATTTGTAAGCGGAAGTTGGAAAAAAAATGTTGCTGTTTGTTTTGTCATTGTCAAACCGCCTAAAAGCGCATTATATGTAGTTCAATTTATGATAAGTGAAAACAAACTCACTTTCAAGTGCACACTCAGTGAAAATAAGAGGCAGTAAAGGCACTGCATAATTTTAATTATTTGGGGAATAAAAAAGCAGAAAGATTGGAGATTTATTAACTGCAATAAATAAGTTGTATTTCGCTGATTAACTTGTCAATTTGGATGTGTCGACAGCATGGTGAGTGAACCAATTAATGGACGTGGGACTATTTTTACGGCAGAACCAACATTCTAAAAATAGGCCTTATTTTTTGATATAAGTAAGTGTTTTAGTTTGAAATTTAGTAAAAATAAAATACTCTCATGAACCTGCGCATCTAATTTTAAAAGAACACAATATATCTAGCAAAAACGATAGCCCTCATACATCTACGTACACTACAGAACCAACATTTAAGGCAAATTTCTGACCACAGAACATTGTTGCATATTTTTTCAATTATGTCATCTAAATTTACTTTTGCTTTCTCGGCATCTTCTTCTAAGTATCAAACTATTTGCGAGTCAGCCTTCGTTTTCCCAAATACAAATAAAACCTTTCACGATATCTAACTCATATTTTGTGTGTGCATTGACTAATATTTTAAATGGTGATCAAATTATTCAACCCCCTCCCCCATTTAATTAAGTCTTGGCTTGAATTCAAGTCTTAAATGAGTTCTTAACATTGTAAATTACTTAAAATTGTTGCTCTTAAAATTATTGAGGAGGCATTTCTATGCCTTTTAGGACAAAATAGTTGTAGAGCAATGGTTAGCTGAACTTCTACGGGCATTTGAAGTCTCCAGTCAAGTGATTAGTGGTATGAGTAGAAAGGTTTACTGGATCTATGGAATAGATGAACCAAAGCTCTTCGCCAAGGCATCTCCATCCTGTTTAAATTCCTCCCAAGCTCAGCCACCTCCACCCCCCATAAATCAAGAATTGGCTGCAAAAAGAAAGCAATTTCGACGAATGCAGTCATTTCAGACTGCTCTCACTTCTCGTAATTGGTCTCCTCCCCCGCCACCTCTTCAAACCCAAACACCCGTTCAAATTCCCCCGGTTCACCAAATGCAGGCGTCAACTTCGTCTTCACAGCAACCGCCGGCGGCTGCTGAATCGAATGCGAGTTCTAGACGTGCGATGTTCAAGAACCTCAACAAAATTGGCTTCTCACGAAGTCAAGATGTCGCCTCCCCCCAACTATCGGAGTGTACAAAACCACAAACTTTGAGTGGACATCATAAACAGACGTAGATCGTCGTCATTCGTATGCAAATATGCTCGCGTATGTGATTACGGTGTACTTTATTTCCCCCTTCTCTTTCTTTCTCTCTCTCTCTCTCTCTCTCTATTTTACTATTTTAATTAACTAAAATAAAATTCCTTAACATAATTGCTTATACTTTAAATTGACTTATGGCTTACTACATGGAAGGAAAGGTGAATACAAATCCAATCACGCAGAAGAAATATAGTGGTAAATGTGATGCCTAAAGAATCAGGTGAATCGATTTTATTTGAGCATTAAAATTACTCTCACTTTTTCCTCTTATAATTGTTTGTATGATATTTGTCGGAAGTCAAATGAACTGTGACTTACCAATTCTGAGATTTCTACAAATAATACTTTATCAAAACCTTCAAAATATATGCTCGCTTTTATGAATAAGTACAAATAATGTCGGGTAAAACTTTTTGTTAATTATAGTGAAGTCTGAATTAAAATTCCTCTGAATTACATTATATGAGATTAAAAATTAAAATAACTCAAATATAAAAGAATAATTTAACTTTAATAATAATTTAATGTAAATATTACACAAAAAATATTTAATTTCGCAATCTGTCTAAATTTCGTGAAAGTGAAATACATCTGCCCCAATTTTCGCATTGAAATGATCCTAGTAAGTTGAAACTACGTCTCAATCAATCATGCAAAATTGCCCAAATGTAAATGAGATATTCCAACGCTGAATTCCTAATTCAACCCAATTACATCCCACACTATGCAGGTGCATTTAAGTCACGTCAAGTCTTGCTGAGAGAAAAAAACCAAGAATCCATTGTTGAAATTTAAAACAGTGACAAAATGCATTTAAGTAGTGTTATTTGCAAACAGTTTCAAAGAATAAGACTTTTAAATTTGCTTCATGAAAGTGAAAAAAAATCATGACTACTTAAAAGTGTTTAATTTGTAGACAGTAAAGTTATGTAAAGCCAAGTTTAATGGATCTGTAAGCAAACAAAATAGAAACTAGTGCATATTTTGACGCAAGCTAAGTGGTTCAAATCTGGAAAAATGGAGATGCAGGCTTCTATCCACCATTGAATGAATTAAAACATGATAAGGAAATAGCTAAAAATAGCCTCCCATATTCAATCCAAATTTTTTTCTATTGCCTTGGCAACTAATTTATTAACCCACATTAAATACTGCAGTATCCTGGCAATTCAAAAAGAACAAAAGAGGCTATGGTCATAGAGGAAGCTTCATTGTCACCGTTATATGCCATTTCAACTAAGAAACTCTGGACTTGAGAGGAGGAAATGTAAAAAAATCCGGTTTAAAATTATGAATGAATGATCGTCATAATAGATGCTTGAGGAAACCTGAAATTTACTAAGAATGTTAGATCAACTATCATTAGTACTAGCCAAGGAAGTGACATTTGATGTTAACTAAATCAATGTAATGAACTCAGATTAAAATTCCGCTATAACTTAGGTAGTTCAATGTATCCTGTTCAGAACGTCTAAATTCCGTTTTTTGTTTCAGCAGGATTAGTTAATAAAATTATAGAACTACTTTGCCTTCTTAAGCACAAGGCAGTAGAGGGATGTCACTTTGCTTGGTTTTGATATCCCCGTCGAAGTCTGCTAAGCAATCTGTGAACAGCGGTAATTGAGAGAATTATGGCTGGTATCAACTACCTTCTCCAATCACATAGTTAAAAAAGTTCTTGAAAAATTGATCATCCTATAAAATCAGCATAGACGTTGGGTCTTATCTACACATGAATTCAATCATGATTTCAAAATCAGATCTGGAACCTTGAACTGGTGAGGGAGAGAGGAGGGGGGGGGGGTCATTTTGAGTATCTTAACGTAAATTATGACACCACATTTATAGTTAATGAGTTGCCTTCTTATTAGAAAATCCAAATTAAGCTATTAGTTTTACTGTTTTAATGGCATGTCTGAGGTCAATTCAATTCCTTGTAATTGGCAGCCTTTAATACAGAAGCAAGCACTTTAAAATTTTATGATAACCATATTGTTAATTAAGCTTAAAAATAACTTATTTACTTTATTTTATTGCATTTTGGGAGTCGTTGTTCAAATGACTTTCCGAATTTTTCTACAAGCCGAATAGAAAAAGTTGGACATATGTACATTGACAGCGATACTGTGGTTCTTCCAGGACGTTCGATCCCAGTCTTCTGATTCCATATTTCTTGCTCAATGATTTTAGTAATGAAGTGAAGGTCGTTTTGGTAAATTCAAACCACGTAAAATTAAAATTAGGTTAGTAATTAATGCGCGTCTAAATCCAAACCCTTGCACGAAAAAAATTAATCTACTTTAACATGGCGTCACCTTAAATTAAACTCTTTTCTAAATCGTTTTCCTTACAAAAGTGAGCCTAATAAACTATCCTTGGCAACGTGAAGAAAAATTGTAATTTTATCAAAATTAAAAGTCGGAGAGATAGATTTAATTATAAAATCTATATATATATATATATATATATATATATATATTATAATCATTTGACTTTACTATCGTCTATACACGTTGACTTAGAACAGCATACGGCAACATATGACTTTTTAAACTTCTGATAAAAATGCCAAATTTTAATACAATATTTCACCATAGAAGTCAGCTCAAAGCATCTGGTTTCTCAGCTGATATAATTAAATCTCTCACATTGCGCACAGATATTTCCTTTAATGACTGTTCATTGGACTAATTGATGCGAAATAGAAGATGCGGTTTTGCAAATCACCAAATTTGATTAAAGTATACCCAACTTTTGTGTAAAAGCCTTTTATGAAAAAATCTGTAAGCCGGTTAAAAGCGCTCTAAATTCAATCTGGGATGGGAAGGTGATTGATAGAGGGGAGATGCAAAAGAACGCTAGTTAATCGCTTTAAGATTAATACACTGGCTAAATTGTGGAAGATCTTATCTGCCGACTAAATTGCAGTGAATTGTACAAAATAAAGAGGATGGAAAGCGAGATGACAATTAAGTTAGGAGGGAAAGGCGTCTGCTCAAAGAGAGAGAGAGAGAGTACATTTGCTTGGTGGTGATACAATGTAATTTCTTTTGATGATTGGGTTTAATCCCCCTGGGTTCTATTCTTCACTCTATAAGGAAGTAATTAACCTGAGGTATAAGCCATCGTGTAGCCGAATAACATGTTAAAAATAGAAGGGTGTGAAAGAATTTGAATCAATTACAATTTGTCATTTACAAGCATGAAACTGAGCATTAAAGTAATGACCGAAAATGTCCAATGTCTGATTGGGGGTAAGAGACAACACATAAATGAGGGACACTTTTAGAAGAAAGAAAGGACTCCAGTATATCAAAAGGGGAGAGTATATTAGCAGTACTTCTATTTCAAAAAACTCTAGTGTTCAAATGAGACGTAGATAAATTAACCGTTTCTCATATTCTTCAAACAAGAATAGATTCGGCTTTGGCACAATTAATGGGATTGCTTTTGACTTGATAATAAAGAGAAGGGGAACTTTTGGCTTTCAATTTCCACTCTTTTGGTAAGAAATTAGATAACACAGGAATTTGTATGAATTAAGGCCAAAAATTGATGACAATGCAGCATTCAAAAGTGATATTGGCTGCCTAAGGTGATATATGCTGACTACATGCAGAGGAATTGAGCCCATTACAAAAGAGTAAATTTGAAGAAAAAATGCCACGTGGTTTTTAAAATAAATTGTTATCAGAATAACTCAGAAGTACAGATAATGCGATCAAAAATAATATAATGCATAATAATAATATATAATTCAGCTTGACAATAAAGAGTATTTACAAATACAAACATTATAGCGACTCAAAATTAAGCTCTCAAAATTTACCATCATCCTTGAAAATCTCTAGCTCCGACTGTTGAAGATAATCTTTTCATTGGCCTTCTAAACAATAGCCTAATAAGGATTAAGGCTGTTTTTAGAGATTTAATGATTCCGATAGAGCTTAATTACAAGCATTTACTTTTTCAGATCTTGATTAGATGAAAACGTTATGCTCTGATATGTCGCTCTAGGTGGCCAATCAATGTTAATTTAATGCAGCATTGATTGTTACTTTGTAATTTTCTGTTTTAAATTTTAGTAAACATTTTAAAATGCTGGAAATAGTTTGAAGATAAATCAAATCCTTGTGTTTTGCATATTTAAACAAAACAATAACCAACTAGGTTTGATAAGCAATTATCTTTTCAATCAACCCTTATTTTATGCTGAATAATCAATTAAAAAATGGTATGAAAAATATCTTAAAAAAATAACTTTCTCATTCTGTCTGGATAGCAGTCTCTTTGCTAGCATGCGCTTGTTGAAGTGAAAGTTGAGGAGGTGTTCCTTTTTATACAATTGGATATTTGGTCTCGAGAGGACAAATTGACGGGAAAACTGTCATTTCATTGGTGTTCCCAATTTAATCAATTAAGGAAGTCAATTTTTCCTTAATATAATGTTTTCTCCATGGGATTAAAACAACTGAAAATAGAAGCAATCTTACAGAAGTTGATAAATTCCTCCCTAACCTATATATGTCTATATGTGAATATATATTTGAATTCCGATATAAATTTTGAAAACACTAATTCTTAAATTATGGACAATTTTAAAAATTAACCTTCGTATTGCATCCATTAGTTGAGTTAGATTGAGAAATGTGGGGGCATGAAATTACAGGAAACTCAGTACCGTCGCGCACAACTTACCTGAAAGCTAATCACCAGGAGAATTATAAAAGTGTGGAAAGAAACCCAAAAGAGTCATAGGACTGCGCTGAAAATCCTGATGTTTGGGGTGGGGTGGGGGTGGAGGGGGTGGAGGGGGGGGGGAATTTCACTCGTTCATTCACCTTTGGAGCTTTTAAGGGGATCGCATGATATGATGAATCCGAGAAGATGGATCGATTTGAAAGACCCGACAGCCACTTAATTTATTCCAATTTACTTTGAATACGGATTTTAGTAGAAATTATCTCATGAA